AAATACTGTGGAAAGACGTCTATATGTATGCATTATAGACTGAACAAATTTTGCATGCGAGTTCTGGTAGATCTATCGATTGAAAACTTGCATACAACAGAAAAGTTACATATTTTAGAAAAAATGCAAATAAGTTACATAGAACTGCATATGCTTGATAGTAACGGTTTGGCATTGATTATCATTCATGGTACAAGTTTCACAAAATAATGGACTATGTAAGTACACAAAATCACAATAAGATCAAAATAAATCATCAGTCAGTCAGTATCTAATATCATCATCTTCGATTTTGTTTCAAATAATCAAAACCTGTTTTGAAAGCATAGAAAAATATTTACCGATCAAGTTGATCATTATATTTGTTTAAACTGCATTGTACTACGACATAAAGACATAATAGAATAAAACAGAAAAACACTTTATTCAAAATAAGTTTTCAAATATATATATATATATATATATATAGTATTGTATGGCAATCGCTTTTGTGTTGTTTAGAACTTGGTTCTATTGATAGCCTCGACCGTTACAATCTTCACATCTTCTTCTAATTGTTCGACGACCATAACCATTGCATGAACATCCTACGCTATATTGACACCATGTTCTGTTATGATGGTTACAGCGACGGCATTCACGTTCTTCATAGACTGTTCCGGAACCGCTACATCTATAACATCGTGTTGGTTGTGGTCGAGATCTATTATAATCATCATAACGACTGTTTAGATTTCCTTGTGCAATACCCATTTCGTTCGAAAAATTCTATTCTGAATAATGGGAAAACAAAAAAAGAATTAATATTGGTGACAGAACAAGAGACAATCTGATTTTCTTTTTATATATGTGTTGACGAGCTGGAAGAAACCAAATATATGACACATACGAGCACATTGCGAAATTACAATAGAGAACACACGCTGGCATCATAGAAAAAATCCATTGTGTTATATACTTGGAAGAATCTTGTATGAGATGCGTTGATATTTCCAACACTTGTGAGTGTTCTTGATCTCTCCATCTCATTACTTACCTCAGAGCTAATATCTATTTGTATTAATTAATCATAAATTCAATAAAATACAAATAAGAAATGTTGAAAGAATTTGTTTGAGAAGAATACATATGAATGCGAGTCTGATTGAGTCTTGTTAGTATTACATGATGACTGTAAACTTCAGGGAAAGTTGAATCGTGATTTTTTTTATGAATCATAGGTGTATCTTTTAGTTGTTTTTGTGAAAATTGATGCGAATAATCCAATATTACAGCAGAAAGTGAGTAAACATATAACTAGCAAAAATAACATTTAATAATAATTTCAAACAGAAATCAAAAGAACTAAGTTTTCATATTTCTTTCTGGACCAATCTTCATGAATGACAATATTAATATGAGAAGAGAAAAGAAAAGAAAAAAAAGAACTGTTGATATTTAAATGACATCTAGATTTTTACGATTCAGTTGCAGTACATTTGATTACTCATTGTGCACACACCATGTCTAATGAAAATCTTGAACAACATGTCATTTAAAATGTTGTGTCTCTTAATATAAATCTTTGTATACAATTTATGTTCATAAGCAGAACGTTTCGAAATGTGCAATAATGGATTTTTATAAAGCATATTTAAAGAAAAAGAATTAAAATTTGAGAACAAGACCTATGAATGACAACAAAAAAGATTAGAAACAAGAAAAAAAAACATTTTGTTTTTTTTGCCCTTGGTTATAACTAGAGAAATTCGAGGATGAAAGAAAAAAAAGAAGTTTGATATATTATGTATTTCGTGATAAGATAGGTATTATCATTTTGAAACAACGATTTTATTTTATTTCCGTACCCAACTGGCCTTTCGAGGGGTATTTCGACGCCTCGATTTTGCACTGTCGATGTCTCCTAAGATACCCATCACCGAGCCCTCGACCCATCGGAAAATGGCAATCCAAGGGGTCGATTTGAAATTCTGATGGGTATAGCTCGTGTCTCAAAATTGTATCATCATAGATGTTTCAAAGTTTCGATCTCGTGCTTCTGCTAACTATCAATGTACCTACCATCAGGCTCTGGACCCATCGGAATTTCAAATCGACCCCTCGGATTGCCATTTTCTGATGGGTCGAGGGCTCGGAGCATCCCTCGCATGTCTTTTTCGGCTCGCTTGGGTAAAGTATACTATGTACATCGAAAGAATGAGATGTCCTACATATTTTGCTACATCTAGCTGTATCTACCATTAAAAACACTCAGAGTATACAGATGCTGCAAAAGTTATTAGTACGATTTTGTTTTCAATGAAAAATAATCAAAATAAGAGCTTTTCAACATTTGGTGAATATCAAAAGAACCATAATGTCTTCAAGTATTTACACTATAGAAACCAGGATTATTGACTGAACCTATGCAAAGTCACAAGTCAATCTTTGAAAACCATGCATATTTTTCACGCAAAAATTATTCGCACGATACCTATGGACGTGAAATTTCGGTCGTTCATGGGTTAAAAGAATTTAATTATAAAGTCATTAGATAAAAGAAAGGATCTGTGAAAGGTTCGTAGTATTTTTTTTCTTTGAGCTGTGATTCTATGAAATAAAGAGAGTTAGTTCTTGAAAAACGCTGAACCTTTATTTTGAAACATCTTCAAGAGAAAATCTGAAATTAGGATCTTTATCCGAAAATAGGGTGTAGGTGTCGGTGTTGATGCATATATCAATTTTTCACCGAAGCACCTACTCACACATCCATATTCATCCCTAGTTTATGAAAAAGATCCTATTTTCAGATTTTCTCTTGAAGATGGTTCAGAATAAAGGTTCAGCATTTTTCAATAACTAACTCTCTTTATTCCGTAGAATCACAGCTCAAAGAAAAAAAATACTACGAATCTATCACTAATTCTTTAGTCTAATGACTTTATTATTAAATTCTTTTAACTCACGAACGACCAAAATTTCACGTCCATAGGTATTGTACGAGTCATTTTTTCATAAAAAATATGCATGGTTTTCAAAGATTGACCTGTAACTTTGCATAGGTTCAGTCAATAATCCTGGTTTCTATAGTGTAAATACTAGAAGACATGACGGTCCTTTTGATATTCACCAAATGTTGAAAAGCTCTTATTTTGATTATTTTTCATCGAAAACAAAATCGTACTCAACATTTTTGTGGCATCTGTAAAAGCAAGAGGTAGATTGACATTCAGCAAGAAATCAAAATATAACAATTGTTTCTGAATATAAAACTTGATTTCCTTGTTTTTAAACAAAACTTGAGGGCTCGGATGAAGATGTCGTTGAAGAGAAAAATCCACATGTACACCATCGCACATCCACCCTCATCTTGTTAAGAAGTAACAACTCCGCAGATATTGCGCAGTGCATTTCTCTATCTTGTATATCACCAGACAATTTATAATTTATTTCGGTTGGAACAAGAATGCCATTCACTATAGCGTGATCTAGCAATAATCTATCTGTACTCAACTGTTCTTAAATCACAGTGAACCAAGAAGATGAGTATTTATGTGAAGTTAAATTAAAGTATGTAATTCAATATTGATAGTGTATGGCTACTCATGATAGTACTATCTTCCGTGTTGAAATTGATCGAAAAGAAAACGAATATTGCTTGTAAAAGTAAATGTCTTTAAGTATATTTCGTCTTCCAAGAGGCAAATATTATTTTCTTCATTCGAACAAAAATCTTGTATTTACATCTGCAGAGTGCTTCAAAAGTCTGTAGAAAAATTACCTATTATTATGAAAGGAAAAAATGGAAGTTGAGTTTGGCACACAAACATGAGACACAAATTGTATTAAAGATGTTTTTTCAAAATCAACGTGATAAATATACAATAATCAGAAAGATCATTAAAAATTGTATAAGAGTCATTCGAAGAAGTTCCTGATGCTCATGAAAATATGTTAATATCGAGTGTTGAGCTTTTTTTCAATAGATTATTTCATTTCATAAACAATAACAGGCCAAATTATGACTGGATATCTTTCAGTGATGTCGTACAAGAATAACTTTGTTCAATAACTTAACAAAGAAAGTCTGCAAGCTCGAATTGAAGTAATATCATTTTAATGGAAACATTAGAAAATACCAACAATCAAGGGAATTGGTTTTTGTTCCAGACGAAATCTCTTTACATTTATATGCTTTATTAATAAATATAAAGCTAAAAATGTAGCGCACGTATCCAAAGATCTGGGTGTATGCAAAATGAGAGCTGACAACCGAAGTAAAGAAATTCAAAACTAAAGCTTCTACAGCATTTTTTCAAATTTCGAAAATGATGAATGTGTCTATTTCATTTATAGGTAATTATTTCGAGTATTTGTTGTAAACTGAGTTATATGAAATAATACTTTAGAAACAACACTTCAAACTATGAACAATTAACAAAAAAGATTCAAAAGTCTCTAGCTTCTAGCACTAGAAATATGTTACTCTATATGAGAATAGCTCAATTCTTACAATTTCTTCGATTTTATAAACTAAAGTCTGAGTATTTTTCAACTTTCAAAGTTTCCAGACATTGAATGCTTTACTGAGTTAATATTGATGAGTGTCGAATTGTGCTCCTATGAAAAACAAACGGACGAGCAAGTTTATCGTCAAATCCGTCCAAATTTACTTCAACAACTTTCATAATATGAAACGAAAGTGAAAACTATGAATCAAGATATTAAGTCAATTCCAACTAGTCCGAAGTCAAAACTTTCAAATCGAAAATGAGTGTTTCCGAAATCTACGTTTGAAAGCAGATGAATTAACAATCATTTCGTATGTCAAATAGCTTTTCAAAAAAAAAAGATTCACAATATTTAAAGAAATGCTAAAACAATCATCGTAATAAGTTCAGATTTATTTCATTATAAACTAACTGACATTAACATCCACATCATCTATTTAATAAGCTACCAATGCTCTAAAGAAGAAATCTACAAAGACGAGTTCATTCAGTTGTGAACTATTTGATTTTCTAGAGAATATAGCGCCAGGCAACATGTTCATCGCCCAAATCACAAATTTCCTGTTCAGACATATTCTCATAGCCCCATCGTCGTTTGTCCCCTTGACTACCTAGACCAGATATGTGGGAACATTTTACGTCTGTCCCACACGAAGTCGAATCCATACTCACAAGTGCAGTTAATGATTGCGTAGGTCCAAACAAACGATCACGCCGTCGATTTTCCGCTCGAAGACCAATCAGAAGAATTACAGCATTGATTAAGCCAAGGGCACAGAAACCTAGATTGACGGCATGACCAAGGATAAATCGAGGTTCATCTTGTGTACGATAAATTTGTCCACTGATCACTCCACCTGTGTTGCCAAACGAGATCATGAATGCCAATGCAGTGGCTCGTTTCGTGTGTGGACTTGTGTTGCCTGATAGAAAAGCGATACAAGTAGCTATGCATGGAGAGAGACCACCAGCTGAAAGAATTACAGCAAGATATTTGATCATCAAATGTTCAACTGTTATCAGAATAGTGTAACCAACTATACTAACAGAGAGCCAAAAAATGATAAATATGCTGCGACGAGAATATTTATCAGAAAAGTAGGCCGTAACCATCGTAGTCAGAAAAGCAAATACATAAGGTGGTGCACTGAGCAGTTGGGCTTGATACGTGACAAAACCAAGGTTCTGAATAATGGTCGGTGAGAAGAACGATAACGAATAGAAAGGAACACACAGTCCGAGATAGCATAAGGACCAAACATAGATTTTCCATGTTGAAAAAGCAGCTGAGACTTGTTTCCAACTGAAATGCTGCTCACCTCCGGTTCCCGTGTCGCTTTGTAGTCGAGCCATGACACGTTTGCATTCGGAATCAGTGAGAAATTTCGGTCGATCGGAAGGAAAATCGTTAAGAAGAAAAACGGCCAATACTCCAGCAATCACTGTGGCAATACCTTCAAGATAGAAGATCCAACGCCAACCTTCTTGTCCACCAACACCACCTAACTTACTGATACCATAGGCAAGCACACCACCGAAAGCACCAGCAAGAGCAGCAGCCGAGAAAAGAATACTGACACGCCATGAAAGTTCACGTCTCTTGTACCAACTCGAGAGATAGAAGGTGGCACCTAGAAAGAGCCAATCATTGACAAACATGCCTTATCCATCTCCTTCCTCTTACCTGGAAATAGGCCCGATTCAAAACCACCCAAAAATAAGCGACATAACAAAAGACCTCCGTATGATTTCACTATACCCATCAACGTCATTACAATACCCCATGAGACCATGATCATTGGTATCCATCGACTAGGTCGAAGTCGTTTCAGTATTAGATTCGACGGAATCTCGAATATGACATATGTAATGAAGAATACACTAAGGCATGCGTTGTATTCACTACTGCTCAGTAGAGTCCTGCAACGGGGTCGGGTACCCGGCACCCGACCGGACCCGAAACTGTGGTCCGGGTACAAATTTGCCGGGTCGGTTCGGGTGCCGGGTATAAAAAAAAATGCCGGGTCGGGTGCAGGATTTGAGCATACCCGGTACCCGACCGGTAGTCGATGACATCTTAACAAGTAAAAGTATTTTACACTCTAGGATAGAGTCCTGCAACGGGGCCGGATACCCGGCACCCGATCGGACCCGGAACTGTGGTTCGGGTACAAATTGTTACTTGATGAAATTAAAATAATAGTATATTTTGCCATATGAAATAAAAGTTTGAAAAGTGAATATAATTTTGACAATAACAATCAAGTGCTGACTATTTCAAGGCTGGGCCGGGTCCGGTCGGGTACCGGGTAGAGCTATCCGGGTCCGGTTCGGTTCCGGGTGGAAGATGACCGGGTCCGGTCGGATTCCGGGTTTGAAAAAAATGAGCCGGGCCGGGTCCGGGTGCGAAAAGTAGTACCCGTGCAGGACTCTACTGCTCAGCTTCAATGTCACTGTTAGACCGTCGAGTTTCGCCTGACCAATATTCACTCGATCAAGAAAACTCAACAAATAGAGCACTGTCATAGTTGGAATCAAATGCCAGTCTAGTTTACGTAAGAGTTTTTTGTCTCCAGGATCATCGTCCTTGTCATTGACGGCAACAATATTTGCTTTGCATATGGTAGAAATTGTGTTGACTGATTCTGTCTCGATAGACCCTGATGGAATTTTCGTCTCACTATCGTCGAGGTCTCTCATAGAATTTGTTGAATATTACTATTCACAACAGTGACTTACTCTACGCAAATAATTAAACGTATTTGCGCATGAGAACAGAGACCTTAAAAGAAAGAGAAATGGCACCAACGAAATGTGTAGTTCTAAACATGCCTTGTTTTCATCATGTTCTTATTAGATCAATCTATCTTGCTCATTCTCGAGTCCAAAAACAGAATGCATTTCAAAGTAAGCGTATAGTGCACCGATCGATTCATTGGTATGTTAAACTACAAAATAAAGAAACAGAAAGGAGTGGCCTTTATAAAAAAAAAAAAAAGATGAAGTAACCTTTTAAGTACTATGATGGTGATTAAAACAAAGATGAATGAGTGAGTATTCATTGGCGAAAACCATTCGAAGGCGTCCAGAGCATTTTACCGAAGTGAGATCTTCAGTTTTCAATGATCAACCATGTCAAAAAAAATAGAGTGTATCAAACTGAAATCGATTCAAAACGAATAGAATTTGATGAAAAAATATTGCGTATTATTGATACAAACAAAATAAGGTTGTTTCGAGATATTTTCATTTATCAAAAAAAAGAACAAATAACAACAATACTTTTTGCTCAGTGTTTAATCGATTGTAATTAAAATCAATGTAAGTAATCGATCAAATGTTGATTTTCATTTTGTTTATATTTAATTATAATCGATAAGAAAGTGATTAAACATCAATTAACAGCGTATGATCTTAATTTATTTTCTATTTTATTGTTTTTTCATAGGCAGTTAGGAATATGCTACCCAAATTAGACGTTATTTATGTATTCAAGTAGCTAACGAGATAAACGCACGATAGTTGAGAAAAGTATTTATTTGGATTTCATCAACCGATTTGTCATTTCAAGTATTCATGGTATTTTAATCGACGTGATGAACTGCAATTTATCGACTTCACTGTTATCGAATCAGAGATACAAATTAGTCAAAACCCAAGAGTATTTATATACAAAAATAAAAAAAAGCATATTGAAAACAATGCTAAAATAAAAAAGATTCTATTTATTACATGCAGATAATTTTATTTCATATAAAACATGATAGAAAACTTTTCCATATAGGAGTTTCATTCTATTTAGATCAAAAATTTTTCTTGTTGAAAAGTGATATTTTCTGTACCTTCAAAGAAATGGTTTGAGATAAAGAAAAAAGCAGATGTGTATTTAACAAAAGTTCACGCCCTCTACAAACTGAACCAGCTTTTCTTACAATAAAAACTTGTTCTCTCGATAAATCTCTCATGAAAAGGATGTGATCATGATTTGAATAAGGTTCTTTAATACTTACACACATCCTTGTTTTGACAACATAGCGAGAATAGAATAGCGTTGTTTACTATACTATTCTCTTATATTTGGGGTGTGATATTTACCATCGTCGTATGAATAATGAGGCTATGGATGTGAGTTTCATAAAATGTTTTAACATCCGATCATTCATTCCCTCAGTCAAGATACATACCGACAGCTATGTCCAATGAAAATAATCAGAATTCTATAGTTAGTAAAATGAATCATCAATGAAAAATCAGAAAGTAAAATTTTCTACTACAAGTTAAGTTTTCTTATACTACAACTAAGGATAGAATTCATTTAAATTAATAACTAAGCATATTTTTATTGAAGAGAAGTCATCTATTTAGTTTGATGAAGGAAGAAAAACTGGTAAACATGCAACAGGAGCATAAAAAGAATAATAAAAGAAAAGTCAGTTCTTTGCTATTTTATCGATTTTCTAAGAAACTTTCGTTAATATTATTCTGGTTTGTGATTTTTTTGTTCATGTCAATATCATGAATTAAAATTGAGTAAGAATATTTTCAGCATTTTCGATCGAAAAACGAACTCAGAAAGTGCTTTAAAAAAGAAATTATTCATTTTCAAATCTGTTTTCGCTCATTGATTACAGAGGCAATATGCAACTCGTAATAATCTTGACTTTGAGCGTCTTTTTCGCACGTGTAAAACGTTTTCTAATGACGTTCTTCTCATTTCATTTTGTTCATAGTAGGAGAGAATTTCAAATCAAACTCCTGTAGAATCTAATAAATATTGTAATCAGAGTACTGATACTGCTGAGTTTACATTTTCTTGATCGCCTCATTATGCATAGGAACTCACATAAGATTGTTCTTTACAAAATATAATAATGTAAACTTGAATACTAACAATAACTGCTGTTCTTGTAAATGCTGTAGAATTAAATAAACTACTTTATTGATGTGTGATTAACTTTTTGAAAATTGACGATTGAACGATTCCTTTCATATTATGAAAATAATAGCATCGAAAGAACAATTGTAGTGTAAGAGACTCATTAAACGATAAGAGTAAAAACAAAGCAAAATGTGATCAAGCATTAAAACAAGTTAACATTTTCTTTACCATCTGAAAATAACAGACCAAATCAATACTGTAGAGCGATTCTATGATAGGTCAAATGTTATTTTTTTCAAAATTTATCAATATAATTATCAGCGGAGATAAAATACGCAAATCGTATAATTTTTTTGTCTTCGTAATCAAATTAGTTTTTATTTATCATAGTTATCGGATTGAAGGAAACGTGTCTTTTTCAAGTTTCTTTGATGTGGGTGCGGGTGTGGGTGTCAGTGTGAGTGTTGGTGTGAGTTATTCTTCTTCGATAATCTACACCCTCGCATACATCCCCTTTCATACATACCAACATCCGCACCCACACCCTCCTTGTGCCATTACCAGCATCCGTATTTGTGACACCACCATTTATTTTCTTTGAGTGGATGCGAATGTAGATCTTTCTGCAAATAATAACGAATCCCTCACAAACCCACACACCTACACCCATATCGTTTGAAGCTTTAGTGTCATTCTTTGTTTTCGTAGATTTGTAAGATTTTTGCTGTTAGAAGCTTATGTGAGTTCGATTGATTTCATACACACTTGACATGACATGACAAAAACTGTAGGAAAGAAGCAATGAGATTAAGGAGAGAATCGGGTTTAATATCTATTTATTCATAGAATAGAACATGGATGTATATTTTAAGAGTATTGGGAAAAAAACTCAACATAGAGAACAGAAGAAGCAGAAAGAAAAAAGTCCCATACATTTGTCAGAGGATCATAGGGAAAATTCCAAGATAATGAACAGAAACATTCTAATATAGGGTTGGAAAATTCCTATATTAATACTGACAGTATGACGTTTGGAATGGGGAAATACGCTTCTACTAAGACAAATATATGCATCTGTCTTTGTGGGGGCATGGCATTTCCGATGGGAAATATTGTCGGCATATATATACAAAGAAATCCAGACGATATCATTCAGTGTTCAAACATTATTCGAGATTATTTCAAACAATTGAATATAGATGAGATATCATGCAAGTGGTGTTCTTGTATTCAGTCTTTTTCTCATTGTTTTCATTGAAGAATAAAGAACGAATCGATCTTTTGCCGAGCAAAGAAAACGCTGTTCATAGTGAGAACTCAAGTGATGCTTTTTCAACGACATCTTCTATTCCATTTGAATCTATTTGGTCTAATTGCCATCATCAGAACATGGGGACCAACCGAAAACGATCTACAGATCCACAAAGGTAATAGCAGAGGCTCAGTAGTAATGTGTGCAGACAAGATTCTTTAGTTAACTCCTTTTTTTTTATTTGAATTGTTCTAGAGAGTAACGTGAACATTACCTGGCCACCTTCGAACGAAGCCGTGGGCGGGCGCGGTGAGTAAATAATTAAGAAAACATAACTGATTTTATGTGTCCTGCTACGATTTGTTGCATTCAGTGAAACGTCTAGAACCGGTGACCAGCATGATTATAGCGTACATGGTTGGTAACGTAGTTACCTTTGGCCTGAAAGTGGGTTTTATCAGTGCGTGGAAGCATTTTGGAAGGTCATGGGAGAACCTGTTTAGAATTGATTAATGAAAGCGATAAACCGCTCTCGATTAAAGTGAACGATGTCGATAATTTCGACTGGGATGGTGGCTCCCGACCAGATCATCTCTTTCAAGGGGTTATCATTTATCCTCATTCATCTGTTAAACATCGACAAGAAATCAATGCTAAAAGCA